TCATTCGGCTCCGTCATATCCTCACATGGTCTCTCCCATCATTGCTATGCGGATGACACTCAACTACTTCTCTCCTTCCCCCCTTCTGACACCCACGTGGTGACACTCATCTCTGTGTGCCTGGCAGATATCTCAGCTTGGATGTCGGCCCACCACCTCAAGCTCAACAAGACGGAGCTGCTCTTCCTCCTGGGCAAGGCCTGCCCGCTCAAATACCTTTCCATCATTGTTGACAACTCCACGGTGCCCCCCTCCCAGAGTAAAGAACCTTGGCGTGACCCTGGACAACACACTGTTGTTCTCTGCAAACATCAAAGCAGTGACTTGCTCCTTCAGGTTCATGCTCTACAACATCAGTAGAGTACAACCCTACCTCACACAGGAAGTGGCGCAGGTCCTAATCCAGGCACTTGTCATCTCCCGTCTGGACTACTGCAACTCGATGTTGGCTGGGCTCCCCGCTTATGCCATTAAACCCCTGCAACTTATCCAGAACGCTACAGCCCGCCTGGTGTTCAACTTTCCTAAGTTCTCCCATGTCACCCCGCTCCTCCGCTAGCTTCCAGTCAAAGCTTGCATCCACTACAATACCATGGTAATTGCCTACGGAGCAGCAAGAGGAACTGCCCTTCCCTACCTTCAGGCTATGCTCAAACCTTACACCCCAACCCGAGCTCTCCGTTCTGCCACCTCTGGTCTCTTGGCCCTCCCACCCCTACGGGAGGGCAGCTCCCGCTCAGCCCAGTCCAAGCTCTTCTCTGTCCTGGCACCCCAATGGTGGAACCAGCTTCCTCCTGGAGCTAGGACAGCAGAGTCCCTGCCCATCATCCAAAATAATCCCACAGCACTTCACCCCGACCCCTGCGCAAATAAATAATGCCTTTCGGGAACTAACACTCGCACTTGACTTTCTTTTTTACCCCTTACTAGCTCTGACTTTGCTGATAGCTACTTTGAGGAAAATGTACTTACTATGACTGTGATATGTGGTTGTCCCACCTAGCTATTTTAAGATTAATGCACTAACTGTAAATTGCTCTGGATAAGCGTGTCTCCTAAATGACAAATGTAAAGACACTGTCGTACATGTCTGGGTGTCATAATGCTACGTTCATAACCAAGTGGGAAGGTGGTAATTACCAGTTGTGAAGTCGTTTTGAACTTGGAAATACCATCAAACATGGAGGTCATTAGAAGGCAAGTGATTGTTTTGCTCTTTTGCCCATATCCAGAGCTGCTTTCACCTAAATCAAAAGGAAGATGAACAGAATCAATTTTGAATCAACAATTTGTATTTTGTTCTTACCATAAACAACAACTGCTGAAGATACCGCCATGCTTGCTGTCTTTTTTGTTGAAAAATGAGAGGTGCAAGTGAAACTCTGAGCATGGGGATGATAGACGAGTTTAGTAATTACCAGTTGGAGGGGATTTCAAGTGGATTTTTCCCAGTCGTATGCTGGTATATGGTGCCAATATTATGTGATCACAATCGTTTATTTTAATCATCTATACCTTTAAATGTGGGCACAATCAGAATGTGGACAAGATCAAGACGTATGTTAGTACCAGGTATAAACAGGCTTTACAAAGAAGAGCACAGTAGCCAGATTCATAGTTCTTACATATTTATTTTTCTTTGTCAAACTTTCAAAACGACCACAGTAAGAAGTGTAACCTAAATGAGTGGTGAAGGAGCCCAAAGACCAGGTCCTCCGAAAGGCCACAGACTATGTAGGCGCTGTAACTGAATATATCACACCTCTTCTCCCACCCCTGACACACACAACCCCAATGGCCAAATCAGATTGGTTAAAACCTACCCATTTCTGAGTATTATATATATATATTTCCAAGAAATGTACAACTATACCGCTTGTCAGCAAATATGGTCCTTGCTACTATTCCTATTTATCGTAACATTTCCATCGTTCCCATCCACAGTTTTTATGTGAGTAAAGTCATACTGTATGAAACTAAATCACAACAGGTGTGATGGAAACAGTGTCGGTCCAATTTCACAAATGTTGACAATTTGTTTGACATGGTGGGATCATTTTGTGTCGGTAAAAATAATTATGCGACAAATGCTGTGGAAATGCCTTTATGTGCAAATATCGAAGTAAACTTGGGAGTCATGCGATGATATGCGGTCTGGAACAGTTCGCTGACAAAGCGGACAGGGTAGGTTGATGAAATATGGATAAGATCAATAGCTTTTTTATTTGTTAATTGGCAGCCAAGTTTTGTTCATGTAGCCAGCATTCAAATAAAACCTTTAATGGAAATGTGCATGAAGCTCATCACCGTCCATCACTTAACCGTCATGAAATTTCATCAAAACTAATCTGCCTATAAACTCAATGCTTTTCCACGTGGTAGTACAACAGAGCATATCATATGACTCCCAAGTTTACTTCGATATGGTTTATTAAATCAATATTTGCACATAGGCGTTTCCACCGTATTTGTCACATAATTATTTTTACCGACACAAAATGATCCCACCATGTCAAACAAATTCAACATTTGTGAAATTGGACCGACACTGTTTCCATCACACCTGTTGTGATTTAGTTTCATACGGTATGACTTTACTCACATAAAAACTGTGGATGGGAACGATGGAAATGTTACGATAAATAGGAATAGTTTGTGACAAAACCATCGCTAGAGTTACAAATGCGATGGTACATGGGAATCAATTTCATGGAAATGCATCTCTGCTGGGATTTTTGAATATTTGCATCAATCTGTCGCCAATTGGATGGAAACCTAGCTACTGTACATCATTTTCAAATGTTACTATATTTTAATATCCCTGCTGAAGAGAAGAGCCTACATGAAATCTGAAACATTTATACACTGACATACATAGATATATTCAGAGTTGACATTAAAAAGGTTAACAAGAGTTGACGTGTTCCTTTACCAAGAGGTGAAGGGGGGCCAGCCGACTCCTACCTCTAGTCTCTTCGACTTCATCGGTTGGAAGTGAATTCTTCATTCTCCCCCCAAAAAAGTAAGGCTGCTCAAGATAGAGGTCAGCGGAATCTATACTGGGCTGGCCCACAACGATTTGAGAAAATACACTTGTAGATTACACACATAATTAAAACGCACACAATTACGCACACAGACCTACACGACTTACAGATACAAAGCTAGTGATGCCCAATAGAGACCCTAACTGAACGGTGAAGTGCACACTTGGGGGATACAGAGAAAGCCACATGTTTGTGAAATTACTATTTGCACCATTGTGATACCTACAATAGTGTGACTATTGGCGAATTATGTATGGTTTCCATAGTAGGACAGCCTCTGACAACTCCTCCTGACCGGCCTGACCTATTATGCTAACCGTTCAGTGCCATCTAATCCTCCTTCATTGCGCTATCCAGTTACCATCCAATCAATGTAACTGCACCTTTGGAAACGTCGGTCTTTTGGTTACAGACAAATACAACAATCAAAACTAACAGCAACATTACCTCATCATTTGAACACCACAGTTAACATGTTCAGTAACCCATCATTGTTGGTTTCCCGAAGTTGCAGGGGTGCAGTATACTGTACCTCGAGCGGTAGCTACCAAATTTGTATGAGAATATGTTGCTCCCCCTTCGTGTACTAGTTAATGACAAGTACAGTAGACTGGGACTGATCCTTCTGATAGGCTGACAGACCTAAGTCTTAATTGTTTGACGAATGGGTTTGAAGCATTTTGGCTTGAGCGGGAATATGATGCCATGTGAAAAGGGCACTTGTCACATTTGAATAGGTTTGGCTAAGGCAAGGTAAATAAATACCATTAGTAAGGGCTCTATTCAATCCGTAAATTGAAATTTAAAGGCAATGTTCGTGCTTTAGCGGAGATGGCATTCACGGTAAACGCTGCATACACTGACTGCACACAACATTAAGAACACCTTCCTAAAATGAGATGAGTTGAGTGCACCACCCCCTCCCCCCACCCTCAGAACAGACTCAATTCGTCGGGGAATGGACTCTACAAGGTGTCAAAGGCGTTCCACGGGGATGCTGGCCCATGTTGACTCCAATGCTTCCCACAGTTGTGTGAAGTTGGCTGGATGTCCTTTGGGTGGTGGACCATTCTTGATACGCACGGGAAACTGTTGAGCATGAAAAGCAGAGCAGCATTGCAGTTCTTGACACAATAAAACCGGTGCGCCTGGCACCTACTATCATACCCTGTTCAAAGGGCACTTAAATCTCATCTTGCCCATTCACCGTCTGAATGGCACACACACACAATCCATATCTCAATTGTCTCAAGGCTTAAAAATAATTATTTAAACTGTCTCCTCCCCTTCATCTACACTGATTGAAGTCGATTTAACAAGTGACATCAATAAGGGATCATAGCTTTCACCTGGTCAGTCTGTCATGGAAAGGTGTTCTTAATGTTTTGTTATGTCGGCTCAATCGCAAATTACCTTTAAATGTATATAGTGGAACCTATAATGCTTCAGCTTTACAGATTTAATAGAGCCCTAAGACTGACATATGGTCCTACTGGGGCCTAGCTTATGTGGATAAAAATATCTTGCAAAAATATATCAGGAAAAAAGTAAAGAATAAAATAAAAATTGATAAAATATTGATGTTAGGATGTTTCTATGTAGGTGCAAGTATCTTTACCGTATTTGGTAGTTCAATCCGGATAAAAGTCCTTTAAATTAAGCAACCATAAACACTAATCATTGAGCCACCTGACAGACACCATTTAGTAAGACTGCCATGTACACACACAGCTATGTCATGTGACCATGTGATGTGTGTGATGATTTGGAAGGGGGTGGAGGGATGGACTAAAACACACACACACACACACAACTCACAGACACACCCACAACTCACAGACACACCCAGCAAGCCTGGACTCTAGGCTTCGTACAGAGATTGCTGTGCCAGGCGACAGGGAGAGAGGGGTCTGAGTTGGGCTGGGCAGCAGGTTTGTGGGCCAGCCGTCCCTCTCAGCTCCTGATGAGGGTGAGGAACTCGTCCCGTGTCTTGGGGTCCTCCCGGAACACCCCCAGCATGGTGCTGGTCACAGTCTTGCTGTTCATCTTCTGCACCCCCCTCATCACCATGCACATGTGACTGTACACAGGAAGGAGGAGGAAAGATAAAATGCATCATTATACATTGCTGTTGTAGTTATTAGATTTGGGTGTATGAGAAATGTCCTGTTTGTGACGCATTGAAGATTGTCCAGATATGACCTCGCACAGTATATTTGGTTTCATTTGTGTGCGTTTGTGTTTTGACTGCCATAATTGCGTTGGCAATAAGGTACTTTTGCCTCTGTGGGTACACTTGAACCAAATAGGGTCACCTTAAAAATGGACAGAAATATTGTCCAGAAACTACCTCATTGGGAAGAGAAAGGGCACACCTCGTGAGCAAAAGCATATTGTTTTCCTAAAACGAAGGATTTGTTAATATGAATTTATGTGTATGCACCATACAGCTAACATTCAAGCCACATTTTTCCACAGTGCATCTTTAATGTCTGTTTGTATGGGGCTGTTAATATCAGTGGTGAGCGAAAAGAGAGAGAGAGACATACGTTGCCTCGATGACGACGCCCACCCCGGCAGGCTGCAGAGCTTCAGTGATCGCCACAGCGATTTGTTTGGTCAACCGCTCTTGAACTGAAAGAGAACAGACAGATAAACACGGTCCAAGTCAGAGAGCAAACTCAAACATGATATGTGACATGATCGACCATGACATGGCAGGTTACCGTTTGTTCTAGGTAACAACACTTACCAGGCTGTCAACCAACTGACCATCTCTAAAAAGGACAATGTGGGAATAAAAATAATGAACGATTTGAATTGTAATGCAATTAATAAAATAAGTTGCTACTGCAGTAATTAGTATAAGTATACACGTATGAGACAGTGCAACTTAATGTAAAGTGCTACTTAAAATAGAAAAATATAATAATAATAATATTATTATTATTATTATTATTATTGTCTTTGAGACAGAATAACAAAAGCTCTATGTGCAGCTCATTTTATTGTCCATCAACTCTCGAGAGTATAAATTAATTGTTAAAATGTCTGGTAATACCTTGCAGTCGACGGCTGTAGATTTCAACAATCCTGGGGAGAGATTAGGGGAAAAGGCAAGGGGGGAAAATACTTTCATTACATGAGAACACCCAAGTGGCAAGATTTACAGTGAGGCAAAGAGGCTTACATTGTCAAAGGGGGATTACACATTCTTCAGGGACAGAGTGGAGAATGGAAAGAGACATGGGAGCTCTTCACAACAGAGGTCACATTTTACAGTGTCAGTCAAATATGTTGATTTGGATTGGCTCGGACAGGTTGAAGTTTCTAAGAGCTGTTGTAATTTGTGTGTTTAAAGAACAGACTCAATCAAATCCATCACAGCATTGATTAAACATAATTTTTGCATACATGATAACTTTGGAGTTATCTTAGGAGGCATCCATTTGTAATAGGAGTTTATCTGCTACAGTGTTCTTCAGGACCCATAATAATGTGATTTAATATGAATATTGGGTTAAAAAGTGCTATTTTTATTGTGTACATTCTGCAATGAGTCTGATTTCAATAAGCCCCAAGTCAACATACAGTGCCTTCAGAAAGTATTCATACTCCTTGACTTATTCCACATTTTGTTGTGTTATAGCCTGAATTCAAAATGGACTACACATTTTTCCCCCCTCAATTATCTACACACAATACCCCCTCCGAATGACAACGTGAAAACACGTTTTAGATTTTTTTTGCAAATGTATTAACAATGAAATACAGAAATATCTAATTTACATAAGTATTCACACCCCTGAGTCAATACTTTGTAGAAGCTCCTTTGGCAGTGATAACAGCTGTGTCTTTCTGGGTAAGTCTCTAAGAACTTCCCACACTTGGATTGTGCAACATCTGCCCATTATTCTTTTCAAAATTCTTCAAGCTCTGTCACATTGGTTGTTGATCATTGATAGACAACCATTTTCAGGTTTTGTCATAGATTTTCAAGTAGATTTAAGTCAGAACTGTAATTCGGCCACTCAGGAACATTCACTGTCTTCTTGGTAAGCAACTCCAGTGTAGGTTTGGCCTTGTGTTTTAGGTTATTGTCCTGCACTGTTTGGTGGAAAGCAGACAACCAGGTTTCCCTCTAGGACTTTCCTGTGGTTAGCTCCAGTCCGTTTCTTTTTTATCCTGAAAAACTCCCCAGTCCTACATGATGCAGTCACCACTATGCTTGAAAATATGGAGAGTGGTACTCAGTAATGTGTTGTATTGGATTTGCCCCAAACATAACTTTGTATTCAGGAGAAAAAGTTAATTGCTTTGCCACATTTTTTACAGTATTACTTTAGTGCCTTGTTGCAAACAAGATGCATGTTTTGGAATATTTGTATTATGTACAGGCTTCTTTCTTGTCACTCTGTCAATTAGGTTAGTATTGTGGAGTAACTACAATGTTGTTGATCCATCCTCAGTTCTCCCATCACAGCCATTAAACTCTGTAACTGTTTTAAAAAGTCACCATTGGCCTCATGGTGAAATCCCTGAGCGGTTTCCTTCCTCTACAGCAACAGAGTTAGGAAAGACGCCTGTGTCTTTGTAGTGATTGGGTGTATTGATACACCATCCAAAGTGTAATTAATAATAACATCACCATGCTCGAAGGGATATTCAATGTCTGCTTTTAATTATTTATTTTTTAAATCTACCAATAGGTGCCCTTCTTTGCGAGGCATTGGAAAACCTCCCTGGTCTTTGTGGTTGAATCTGTGTTTGAAATTCACTGCTCGACTGAGGGACCTTACATATAATTGTGTGTGTGGGGTACAGAGATGAGGTAGTCATTCAAAAATCATGTTAAACACTTATTTCACACAGCGTCAGTCCAAGCAACATATGACTTGTTAAGCACATTTTTACTCCTGAATTTATTTAGGCTTGCCATAACAAAGGGGTTGAATTGTTGACTCAAGACATTTCAGCTTTTCATTTTTAATTAATGTATTACATTTTTTACTAAATTTACTAAAATGTTACATTCAGGCTGTAACAACAATATTTGGAATAAGTCATGGGGTGTGAATACTTTCTGAAGGCACCGTACATACAGATGTAGTTTGCTACAGCAGGAAAATAATCCTGCAGCAACAAGAAATGTGAATTATATGTGGATTATAATTAATTGACATTTGTTGTAGGGGTTGATTTGATACATTTTTCGTATCAGGAAATCAAGTCTGACATTTGAAAGTGGAAATTACAAACTTTAGAAGCCTTTTTAAAACCTTGAATAGACCACAAGTTTCAATTTCCTGCTGTACAGGAAAATTCTCAGCAACAAAAGTGATCAAATTAAGATCCTACATCTTTACCACATCCTATATTTACCCTCTCTTTCTGGTGCTTTTCTAGGAGAGAGTGTGGTATTCTGTGGCAGTCACACTGACAACCAGTTGCAACGTTTCACCCTCCAGTGAGTCAATGTGAGTAGCAGAGCAGTGGATCACGCTCGCCTCATCATAGCCTGACTTCCCTTCCCCTTTGACCCAATGCTCTTTTACAAACATGCCCTCTCCTATCGCTGCAGCTCTGTCACTTGGCACAGCAAAATGCCACAGAACAAGAGGATTACGAAGACTTTCAAATGGGCGGATGCATCGATATGAAGGGATAAAACTGTTGCATCCTTCTCAAAAGAAGCACATTTTGGAGGTTTTGGGTGCAACGCCTTTCAGAGCTCAATTCATATAAAATCAAAATCTATTAAATTGTATTTGTCACATGCTTCGTAGACAACAGGTGTAGACTAACCGTGAAATGCTTTCTTGCGGGTCCATTTCCAACAATGCAGAGTTAGATATTTTTTAAAATAAAAATAGTCACACAAGGAATAAATACAGTGAATAATGAATTAAATAACATGGCTATACATTGAGTGTACAAAACATTAGAGACTCGTAATCTTTCCATGACATAGACTGACCAGGTGAAAGCTATGATCCCTTATTGATGTCACTTGTTAAATCTACTTCAATCAGTGCAGATGAAGGGGAGGAGACAGGTTAAAGAAGGATTTTTAAGCCTCGAGACAACTGAGACATGGATTGTGTATTTGTGCCATTCAGAGGGTGAATGTGCAAAACAAAAGATTTAAGTGCCTTTGAACGGCGTATGGTAGTAGGTGCCAGGCGTGCCGGTTTGAGTGTGTCAAGAACTGCAACGCTGCTGGGTTTTTCACGCTCAACAGTTTCCCGTGTGTATCAAGAATAGTCCACCACCCAAAGAACATCCAGCCAACTTGACAACTGTGGGAAGCATTGGAGTCAACATGGGCCTGCATTCCTGTGGAACGCTTTCGACACCTTGTAGAGTCCATGCCCTGATGAATTGAGGCTCTTATGAGGGCAAAAGGGGGTGCAACTCAATATCATGAAGGTGTTCCTAATGTTTTGTACACTCAGTGTGTGAGTAGAAAGTAAGTTGGCTATATACAAGGAGTACCAGTAACTAGTCGATGTGCATGGGTAGGAGGTAATTGAGGTTGGTAGCTATGTACTGTGCATATAGGTAGGGGTAAAGTGACTAGGCAACAGGATACATATTTGACAGTAGCAGTAGTGTATGTGGTGAGTGTTAAAGTATGTGTGTGCATGTTGTGTGGGTGTGGGCATATGTAGTGTGTGTATACACACACACACAGTTGAAGTCGGAACTTTACATACACTTAGGTTGGAGTCATTAAAACTCATTTTTCAACCACTCCACAAATTTATTTTTAACAAACTATAGTTTTGGCAAGTCGGTTAGGACATCTACTTTGTGCATGACACAAGTAATTTTTCCAACAATTGTTCACAGACAGATTATTTCACTGTATCACAATTCCAGTGGGTCAGAAGTTTACATGCACTAAGTTGACTGTGCCTTTAAACAGCTTGGAAAATTCCAGAAAATGATGTCATGGCTTTAGAAGCTTCTGATAGGCTAATTGACATAATTTGAGTCAATTGGCGGTGTACCTGTGGCTGTATTTCAAGGCCTACCTTCAAACTCAGTGCCTCTTTGCTTGAAATCATGGGAAAATCAAAAGAAATCAACCGACCTCAGAAAAAGAATTGTAGACCTCCACAAGTCTGGTTCATCCTTGGGAGCAATTTCCAAATGCCTGAAGGTACCATGTTCATCTGTACAAACAATAGTATGCAAGTATAAACACCATGGGACCACGCAGCCGTCATACCGCTCAGGAAGGAGACGCGTTCTGTCTCCTAGAGATGAACGTACTTTGGTGCGAAAAGTGCAAATCAATCCCAGAACAACAGCAAAGGACCTTGTGAAGATGCTGGAGGAAACAGGTACAAAAGTATCTACATCCACAGTAAAACGAGTCCTATATCGACATAACCTGAAAGGCCGCTCAGCAAGGAAGAAGGCACTGCTCAAAAACCGCCTTAAAAAAGCCAGACTAAGGTTTGCAACTGCACATGGGGACAAAGATCGTACTTTTTGGAGAAATGTCCTCTGGTCTGATGAAACAAAAATATAACTGTTTGGCCATAATGACCATCGTCATGTTTGGAAGAAAAAGGGGATGACTTGCAAGCCGAAGAACACCATCCCAAACGTGAAGCACGGGGGTGGCAGCATCATGCTGTGGGGGTGCTTTGCTGCAGGAGGGACTGGCACACTTCACAAAATAGATGGCATCATGAGGAAGGAAAATTATGTGGATATATTGAAGCAACATCTCAAGACATCAGTCACGAAGTTAAAGCTTGGTC